AAAGTGGGAAAGATTTAGAAGCCCCAAGAGCCAGAACAGAGAAGAAGGAGGGTGAAATCGAGAATTCTGTTCCAGAGTACGGGGGGTGCAGAAGAATACGGGGGCACTCGATACTCAGCCTGCAGAGATTGAAAGACGCAAAGGTGGTTTATCCTCCACCGAAACCCGGACCTCTACCATTTCCATCCAGGGTACGAAAGGCAGCAAAGGAGGACTCTGAGAAGCATGTTCTTGATATGTTCAGGAAGGTCAAGATTAATATCCCCCTCATTGATGCAATCAAGCAAGTCCCTCGCTATGCCAAGTTTTTGAAGGATTTGTGCACCAACAAGCGAAAGCTGCAAGGGAATAAGAAGATTCAGATGGGGGAGAATGTCTCGGCAATATTTCAGAAGGATTTACCCCAAAAGAAAAGCGACCCAGGTATGTTTTCGATTCCATGCACTATAGGGAATTTAAAAATCGAGCGAGCCATGCTCGACTTGGGAGCATCAATTAATGTTATGCCTCGCTCCATTTTTGAGTCCTTAAACTTGGGTCCTCTTAAAGAAACTCGGGTGGTAATTCAACTTGCCGACCGAAGTACTACTTGCCCGGATGGGGTAATTGAGGATGTTCTCGTTAAGGTTAATGAACTCATTTTTCCCGCTGACTTTTATGTGTTGAGTATGAATGACAGGACCCCTATGTCAACCCCGATTTTGTTGGGGCGACCGTTCTTGAACACCGCTCAAACAAAAATCAACGTTCGTGAAGGCACTCTGACAATGGAGTTCGATGGCAATGTTATTCGATTTAATATTTTTGATGCCATGAACATTCCAGATTCTGACCATTGTGTTTATTTACTTGATTGTGTTGAACCGTTAGTACATGATATTCTCGACACGTATAAGGAGGATGAGTTGGAGCTTCTGATTTCACAAAGTCTAGGTAAAGATCAAGCAGTACGGGGTACCTTCCCAGGAGTACTGGGTACCCCAGTACTCGACCTGCAGCGAGATAGTGACCAACCTGAATTTTTAAATCGACTGGAGTTGATCAATGAGGCTGTGACAGCCTTGAATACCATGAAACTCTATATGGGCAAGCATGATAAAAATTTTATTCAGCTTCCTGAACCTGATAAAAAAATTCTTCATTCTACTTTGCAGGCACCGGAGCTTGAAATGAAATCCTTGCCGAGCCATTTGAAATATGCTTACTTGGGAGATGATCGAACACTCCCTGTGATAGTATCATCTAAGCTGGAGCCTGACCAGGAGGCAACCCTCATTGACGTGTTGAAAAATTACAAACGAGCAATTGGATGGACCATTGCCGATTTGCGAGGGATAAGCTCGTCCATATGCATGCATCGTATTCTCCTCGAGGAGGACGTTAAACCATCTCGCGAGGCGCAGTTACGGCTGAATCCTACCATGATGGAGGTGGTGAAGAATGAAATCATTAAGTTGTTGGACGTAGGAGTCATTTATCCAATCTTGGATAGTCGTTGGGTGAGCCCGACGCAAGTGGTTCCAAAGATGTCGGGTGTGACAGTGATTGAGAATCAGGTAGGTGAGTTGGTTCTCACTCGTGTACAGACTGGGTGGAGAGTATGCATCGACTATCGTAAGTTAAATGCCATGACTCGTAAGGATCACTTTCCATTATCTTTCATTGATCAGATGTTAGAAAGATTGGCAGGATATTCTTATTATTGCTTTCTAGATGGGTATTCAGGTTATTTTCAGATTCCCATTGCACCTGAGGATCAAGAGAAGACCACATTCACATGCCCATTTGGGACATTCGCGTACAGACGCATGCCATTCGGATTGTGTAACGCACCAACTACGTTCCAACGGTGTATGGTGAGCATCTTTTCAGAATACGTTGGTAATATAATAGAGGTATTTATGGATGATTTTAGTGTCTATGGTGAGTCATTTAATTCCGGTCTCGA